CTTATACTTGAAGAACTTCTCTAGTTCCAAATTAAAGCAAGTGAGCCTATGTGTACGTGTATATATAAACTAAGATGATACATTTTTTTTGATTAATGATTTATATTATAAAAGGATATATCAAGTTTAAATTTTTTTTATAATTATAATCTACTTTAAAAGTAAAAATAATGATTTAATTTTAAATCTATACAGGTAAACTTACATGTATTTATAAAATAGATGATATCGTGATTAATGATTTATATTATAATCAAAAGAAATTCATTTACCCAGCTCATTATTCTTTTTTTCGTTTTTTCATTTTGGCTTTTGCAAATTAATCAGAAACTAGATTCTATATAATAACCAAAGGAAAAACACGTTCTAGTCTTTCTCTTTGGTTTTGATTTCCCTCTTGTTTGGTTATAGGGAAAACGACAGGCATTCTTTGAATATAAACGTACATACTTGTTCTTGCTGACTGCTATGGAATTCCCCCTGCGCCAAGTGAATTTGATAGTTCTGATTTCTCCAGGTGAACAAAGCCTTGTATATATATATATTCTACAATCTGTATATTTGATTCATTGTTTTTGGTACAGAAAATTATGGAAACAGTGTTGACTAAAAACACCTTCTATATAGAACCTACTCTAAACGGAAAAAAAAAAATGACAAAATGGATTACTTACATTACTATAAAAGAGAAACATTACTTTGTTTGAATTGGGTAAGATTGTGAATTAGATAAAAAAAATCACACCATTTGTTTAAATTACAAATTGAAATGAAATGAAAAATAAAATAAAATTACTTGTCTTTAGAATATAAGATGACAAATTAGATTCCGATTCCAATGATTTATAAAATGACTCAGCTTTGTTACTTACTCCTTTTTACTCGAATCAAATGAGAAATTGGAATTTTTTTTTTTTTTTGATTTTGTCTGTCTTATCGTAAGTAAAAAGTTGACTAATTGAAAACGAGATATTATACACTGCACCATACACATAGGGCCAACTACTGAACTTTGCTTACCAGCCACGTTGATATATGATAACGAGCCAGAAAACCGGCTTTCTTGTGTCAACTGTAGACATGTACAAGAAATGTAAAAAACTATACATTTCGAGAAGCGCCTGATGAATTATATTATATCAGATATTTACTGCATAAGCTTTTTCTATGAAGAGATACCAATTTACATTCAAGCATCTACTGTTCTCAGGGGGGCGAAATCGACCATATCCATATTTTCAAAGGGGCTTTGCAAAATATTCCTCCCACTACAAAACTCCCAATGGTGCAATAACACCCTTACACTGAGCTGATGCTCATTCAAATGGTCAAAAATGGAAGCTTCAATGCCTTACCTTAGCTGGCGGGGCTATGGGTGCTCAAACTTTTTGATTCCCCAGTAGCAGTCTTGGAAACTGACGTTAAAAATTCTCCGTTGGCACAGATTCTTAAGTTAGTTGATGCTGCTGCCAAAGGTCGATCTCATAGGAACTGATGTAGGCACCTGTTGAGGAGACAAGGTGCAAGTCACTTCTTTCCGAATCATTTCAACACCGGTTCCATCAGTAACTGGCGAATATGGTTTTGTAACTTTCTTCTTCAGCAGCTCCTGAATCATTGAAAGAAGCTCTTACTGAGAGAAAAAATCTCAAAATTATAGGATGATCCAAGGCCATGCTTAGACACGCTCCAATCTATGTTTCATACACTTGAATTTTTCAATATTACCGCTGAAATGTCAATGCCAGCAAACCATCTATGCTTATATTTTCGCTAACTAAAACAAAGATACTAGCACGTTATGATAAAACTTTGAAAAAACTACTTAAAATAGGAAAACATTTGTCAAAGTCTAAAACATACAGTGCAATAAACAATGCTGTCTAAATGAAATAAAGAGTGCAATCTGGAAAAACTAACCTTCACAAGGTTTTGTCCATATGTATTCATTGCTTGTTCAATTGAAGAGTAAACTTCAAGAGCTTGATGAGTATCTCTGCTGCATTTTATAACACGAACTTGTTCTTTTGTATCTGTTGGTCTAGTCTTTAAATAAAGTATGAGCCGTGAAGGTGGAGCTTTTGGTTGGTCTTTCTTTCCCTGAGTTAACTCCATTGTTGCCAGGTCAACCCACATTACATCCCACAAAACTGAACATGGATCCCTCACCGGGTTGAATTTCCTCTGAGTGATATTAGTGGTTTGCTGAAAAAGGCAAAATGCAGTGTGATCCTTTAGTTTGGCCTCCAGGTTTAGTAATAGAAAAAAGGCACCAGTCAAACCATAAAATGTTTCTAACCAAACTAGTTGACATACTTGCAATAATATTATTCTTCGATGAGTAACCATAACAGTTTTTCCCTTTGGTAGCAAGAAATGATCTTCATATGCATCTGATAATGCAAATTTTCCCCGTACTTTGAATAGATCAACCTGGCCAAAGAAAGAACCCGATTCCGCCAATTGCAATATGACCTTCAAGATGAACACATATGCCAGTAGGTTAAAAAGTTGTATTCAAAACATAAGCAGGTGATCATAAAAACCAAAATTTCAAACATAAATAAAACAGAGACAAGTAAATGCGAAAGTATAACAGAAAATGGATGGACAAAATTATAATAAAAAGGGGTCTCTTTCCACTTGCCCTTTGACTTAATGTACTCAAAGCCAATTATACCTGCTAAAAGGACACAAAAAATAAAGTACCTGTCCTTGTGCTTTGTACTCATCATATGGTCGAAGCAAATTATCACCACTAATTACACGAGGCAGCCTCCTGCGGAGGAGCTGTTCATCTGAAGCTATAGCAGATGCTATCTTCATTCTCATAGCATTTGCACCTTCAGTAGTTTTTGACAAAAGATCCAGAACCCCACTCACTGGCTGTGCAGCTGCACCTATTATTCCTTTTCCAACACCCTGAACAAAGCCCTCAACACCAGAAGTTTTTGCGCCTTCAAGAGGCTTTGTTAATATGCCAGTAACTCCTCTGAACAGGCCTTTCGCTAGTGCTCCACCCCCTTCTCTAATAACATCACCAAAGTCCTCTACACCCTTGTTCTCCTGCTAGAACAAGCACATTGAAAAGAAAATATGAGTGTTCCAGAATGGTTAACTGCCCAAAACCAGACAAGTATTACCCAAAAAGAGGCCCGTTGAATGATTATTGGCTTTAATAGACCATAGCATAGAAAGTATGTAACAACAGCATGAGCAGGACAAAGAGAAAAAAGGTTGTCAGTCAATTATTTGTAGTATCATATTCTTGAAGTAGGGAGAAATAAGTGCTTCCTAATCCTATGGTAGCCTCTTGTATTTATACTAAGAGTTATAAGGTATAGAAGAAAATATTATCCTTACTGCACATTACACCTTAAAACACATATCCTACAGGAGATCCTTTTTTGACTGGAAAATTTCAGTCTGTTCTAAAATTTATCAATTCCCCTGCTGTAGACATGTTTTAAGGGTGCCAATAAAGAAATCAGAAGAGGAAATTAAAGATGGCATACCAAGGCAAGAAGGGGTTTATTAATTAATCATTAACTTACGCTTTAATTAATCATTGGACTATCTAGTTACACAATGAAATCAAACACTATTACTAAAGCTCTCAGGGTTAGTGAATTAGCAAGATGTAGTAGACATATCCCTTTTGTCAGTTATTCAAAAAGTTATCACACACGTGTTACCCATCTCTCAGGGTTAGGGTTATCACACACATCTTGCAAGTGGATCAAGCACCAGAGCGGGCAGTGTATGCTTAGTAATCAAGATTTTGGGTTTGTGACATACCTGTCTCTGCCGGCTTTGGATAAATTTCTTATCCATTGATAAAGCAGCCACTCCTTTACTCATATGTCCAAGAGCACTGCTTGCGTTGCCCAATATATCAAGGCCAGAAAGCAATTGAAGCGGTTGGCCAAGAAGATCCTTTTTGATGTTTGAAATAGCATTATTAATCATAGTACTCTGCCTCATGCACACATTCTCATGAAACCTTTGGTTTATCTTGACCTGTTATTCAACAGTTGTATTATAATGTGCATAACCAACACCAAAGAGCCCATGAAAGTTAGTTAAGAAATTCTTGAGATGTATATATAGCTCTGAGAGTTGCTAATGTTACTTCATCGATAGGATAGTACTTAATTAATGGCAAGCATAGTAGATAATAGAGTGTTACAGCTTAGTGTTATGCCACCAACCCTAGTAATTACCAAACCAAATGGATCTATCAACACATGTACTGCAACTTTGAGATATTAGGAGGCCATGATATCTTAACAGATATTTATTACAACAAGGCAGACAATTCTTCTAGCTTCCATATACTTACATAATTGACTTTTCAGATCCAGCCAGAGAATTAAAAGTCAAACTACAGAGAGGATCTACAAACAAGGAAACAAAAAGAGATTAAATGTAAAACTTACTGACAAATTCTCAGTGTTCCCTAATGCAGTCATTAAGGATGACCAAAAACCAAGTACTCCTCTAGGCCGTTGGCTAGGTGACATAGCCATCGAAACTTTCAGTCGAACTTCTGAGATGTTGAGAACCCTGTATTTCCGGGTAAACATAAGTGATAAGACTCAAGCAATCAAATACAGAGCAAAGCACAATTTGATACCAAAATTGAAGAAAGGTTCTCTCATACCCAATTTGAATGATTGGATCAACTGAAACTGCAGTAGTTTTAGTATCATATAACCTACTGAGGTTGACCTGCTGTATCATCTCATGAATGCGCCATATGATAGGTTCATGAATGTTTATCAAAAATGCAGAATTATCGGGCCCCTGGTAATAAGCCAATCAAAATGTATATGACTATATGAGTGACTACTATAGGAAAAAATAATAAACACTCTGCTCGAACTTTGAGATT